CCCCCCCCCACCACGCCACCATGACGACACGACCCGATCACGACGCGTCGTCTCCCTCTCTGTACCCCCTTCCCCTCCCCTCCCTCCCCTCCGACACACTTGACTCGAGTACACCCACTGGCCATGCTCCGTAGTGTTCTCCATGCAGGACGGGTGTGCAGTAGAGGTGTTGTGAGCTATGGCCTTGGTGGTGGTGGTGGTGGTGGTGGTGGCCTCTCCGCCATGGGTGTGGCGGGACGGGTGGCGCATGGCTCGTCTATTGCTGGGGTTCCCAGAGGGGAGGGTACGTAGGCAAGAGGGGGGTATGGGCATGGGTGATGGTGGAGGTGATGGGGGTGATGGTGGTGGGGGGTATGGGCATGGGTGATGGTGGAAGGTGGTGGGGGTGATGGTGGTGGGGGGTATGGGCATGGGTGATGGTGGAGGGGGGTATGGGCATGGGTGATGGTGGAGGTGATGGGGGTGATGGTGGTGGGGGGTATGGGCATGGGTGATGGTGGAGGTGATGGGGTTGATGGTGGTGGGGGGTATGGGCATGGGTGATGGTGGAGGGACTCACATCGCCGTACAATCAACGTCATCGTCGTCATCGTCAACGTCAACGTCATCATCATCGTCAACGTCATCATGGCCATCGTGCTTGTCATCGTCTTCAATGCCACAGACCGTGTCCCGCTCAACCTAGCCCGCGGCGATACGGTGGGATCGTTTGTGGTCGAGTCGGTGACGCCGGTGCCTGCGCTGGCTCTCGACGCCATCGAGCTGCGGCATCCGAGCGGGGCGAGCTATGTGCATCTCGACACGGCGGATACGCACAACACGTTTGCCATCGGCCTGCGGACGCCGCCAGAGTCAGACAATGGCGTCTTTCACATCCTCGAGCACATGGTGCTCTGCTCGTCGGCCAAGTACGCCGCCCGCGATGTGTTCTTCAACCTCTCGCAGCGGACCCTGGCTACCTTTCTCAACGCCATGACCGCTGCCGACTCGACCATCTACCCCTTCTCCACTGTCCACGCCCAGGACTTTGCCAACATCCTCGACGTCTACTGCGATGCCGTCTTCTTCCCCAACCTCACCAAGCACGACTTTGATCGCGAAGGCTGGCGCCTCGAGCTCGACGAGGCCTCGCCCGGCGGAGTTCGCTATCACGGCATTGTCTTTAACGAGATGAAGGGCGTGGTGACGGACCCTGCCGCTTGGTTCTACTACCAGCTCAAGGCGCTCCGTGCCGGCGCTCCGCTCGACCGGGCCAGCCTCACCGTGCCGCGCGGCGGCGCCGCCTCGCCGTACGCTTACAACTCGGGCGGCGACCCGCTTGCCATCCCGTCGCTGACCCACGACGAGCTCCGCGCCGCCCACGCCAAGTACTACTCGCCGGCGAACGCGCTGTTCTTCTCGTACGGCGACCTCCCGCTCGCCCACCACATCGAGTACCTCGAGGACAACGTGCTCTCGCGAGTCCCGCCATCGCCTGCCGGCTCCATTGTCCTCCCGCCACTCCCGCGGACACCCGCTGCCGAGCGCGCCGTCATTGCCGGGCCCTTTGACTCGCTCTCGGCGCCCGACGCACAGGTATACCACGGCTCCGAGTGGCTGGCTCATGACCTCGGCTCGGCCTCGCCGGCGGCCAACCTCAACTTGCAGCTCCTCTCGTCGCTCCTGCTCAACGGCGCAGCGTCGCCGGTCTACAAGGCCGTCATCGAAACCGGGCTTGCCGCCGACTACTCTCAGCGGACCGGGCAGAATACCGAGATGGCGACGGCCTCGTTGGGCATCACCTTCCAGGGCATCTCGTCCAAGGCCGGGGCGACGGACCGCATCGACGATGCCGTCGCCGCCGCCCTAGACTCGGTCCGCGCCGATGGCTTTGACCCGGCCCGCATCGACGCCCTCCTCCACCAGATCGAGATCTCGCTCAAGGCCCGTCCTGACAACTACGGCCTCGCGCTCTCGTCGTCGCTCCTTCACTCGACCTCGCTCGGCGCCTCGCTCCCGGACCTTGTCCGCATCGAGGAGACCCTCGACGAGTTCAAGGCCGACCCACAGGGCGCGCTGGCGGCCACGCTTGACGCGCTCCTCGCCTCCCCGCCGGTCACCCTTACCATGGAGCCCGAGCCCGAGTTCCTCGCCTCCCGCGACGCCGCCGAGGCCGCCGCCCTCGAGGTTGCCGGCGCGGAACTCTCCGCGGGCGCAAAGGCCGAGCTCGAGGCGGTGACCAAGACCTTCTACGCCCGTGAGTCCGAGGACGTCTCAGCGCTCGCCGACACGCTCCCGGCCATCTCCATCGACGAGTGCTCCGAGGAGCTGACGCGGCGGAACGAGACCGTGATCGCCGCGCCGTCGGGCATCTACACCCACGACGCACCGACCAACGGCCTGGTGTACGTCCGGGCGCTGACGCGGGTGCCTGACGAGCTCGCACCCGAGTCGGCTGCGCTCCTCCCGCTCTACGCCTCGCTCCTGCCCTCGCTCGGCACCGACGGCGGGCGCGGCAAGGTCCCGTACGCCACCATCGACCAGGAGCTCCAGATGAAGGCCGGCTCGCTCTCGGCCGGCATCTCGCTCGCCGACGCGCTCGATTCGTCGGCCCACTTTACCGAGCGGGTCAGCGTGTCGGGCTCGTTCCTTGAGGCCAAGAGCGCCGACGCGCTCAACCTCTTTGCCGAGATCCTCACTGCGCCCGACTGGACCGACACGGAGCGGATCGGGACGCTGGTGGCGTCGATTGCCGGCGAGCTCTCGTCGTCGATCCAGTTCTCGGGCCACTCGTTTGCGGCGCTCAACGCGCGCTCGCGGCTCAACCGGGTCAACGCGCGCTCGGAGCTCTTTGACGGCCTCTCGCAGCTCAACGTCCTCGTTCCGCTCGCCAACGAGCTCGCCGCCGTCGACTCGCCGGCCGAATCACCGCTCCTCGCCTCGGTCATGGACGCGCTCGGCGGCCTGCACGCCCGCATGATCGCCGGCGCCTGGGGCCAGGGCTCGGCGTTCTCGGTCGTCGCCCCGACTGCCGCCGACTACGTGGCGCCGGTGGAGGACTTTGCCGGCGCGCTTGGTGCGCCCATCACGTCGTCGCCGCTCCCGGCGTCCGCGCCGTCGCACCCGGCCGGTCTCCCTTCACCCGACGCCTTTGCCCCCGCCCTCCGCTCCGAGTACGTCGTCCTCCCGTATCAGGTCCACTACGTGGCGTCAGCCATCCCCACCGTTCCTGCCCTTCATCCCGACGCCACGCCGCTTTCGCTCCTTGGCTCGATCCTCTCGTCCGAGTACCTCCTCCCGGTTGTGCGGCAGAAGGGCGGTGCGTATGGCGCGGGCGCCTCGCAGTCCTCGGGCGCCTTCACCTTCTTCTCCTATCGCGATCCGCAGTCGACGGCCACCCTCGACGCCTTTGCCGGCTCGGAGGCCTTCTGCAACTCGCTCTCCGACGCCGAGCTCGGTGCCATGCTTGCCAGGGCCAAGCTCCGCGGCGTCGCCCGCCTCGACGCCCCGCTCGCGCCCTCACAGTTTGGCGCCGCCTACTTTAACGCCGGCGTCGAGGACGACGTCCGTCAGCAGCTCCGCTCGGCTCTCTTTGCCGCCTCAGTCGACGATCTCCGCCGCGTCGCTGCCGAGCACCTCTCGGCCTCTGCCCCGCGCTCGTCGACCATCATCGGTCCTGGTGGCGCCTCGGTGCCTGCCGGCGATGACTGGGTTGTTGTTGATCCTGCTGCCAATGCCCGTGGCTAACGGCACACAATCATTGGCCAACGATCATTGTAGCTCCCCTCCCCGGCACAGACACGGACACAATCAATGGCCTACGATTAATCACGTTCCCTCCAAGCACAGACACGGACACAATCAATGGCCAACGATTAATCACGTTCCCCCTCCCCTCCCCGACACAATCAATGGCCAACGATAACACTCGAACAACGGGACAGCACTCGACTCAAGGGTGAGACCGCCGTGTTCCGCAGCTCTCGCCATGGCGGAGACAGGCGCAGCAGGCGGAGGAGAGTCGCAGAGCAGAGGTGGAGGACACAGCAGCAGGATGATGGCTGACGCTGTCCACGCTGCCACCCAGGCCATGCTCACCGCACCATTGCAGCCAGCAGACCAGGCAGAGCGCCCTGTCGCTGCGAGCACTGGCGAATCACTCAATTTCAGCCAAAAATCGCAATCTCGCTCATCTCCACAAATCGCTTCCGCTCCGTCTCCTGCGTCCGCTCTCGCTCCTGCGGCTGTTCCTTTATCTGCAGCGATGAGCACAAGCTCCCCATCCGGCAAGGTCGCCTCGGACGCTGCCGCCGTCATCGTCGTCAAGTCCGAGCCCATCGATGATCAGCCCGGCGCGACTGACGCCCACGGTATCAACCTTGCTGGGCCGATGGAAGACGGTGTCGCGTCGACAGTGGCGCAGGTCAAGCTCGAGGGACAGGCCAAGGTCGAGACCAAGGTCGAGGCCAAGCCTCCGCCCAAGATCAAGGCGGTTGCCACTGCGAGCGCGTCCAAGTCAGCGGCAGGTAAGGCCAAGGCGGCAGGGGCCGAGCGGAAGCGGAAGCGCAAGCCGAGCGCCAAGGTCGTTGCGGCACGGAAGCGATCCAAGCGCGGCGGAGCCAAGGTGGAGGAGGACATCCACGCGCCGTCGTCGGGCATGCGGCGATCGGGCAAGTACTACCACCCCAAGGCCGACCAAGAGAAGGGTGTGCCGACGGTAGTGCCGGTCAACGCCCTCCCGCTCCTCTTTGACCGCATCATGGTGACCTTCTCGGAGGAGGAGGCAAATCGGGTCAACGCATGGGCGGTGCAGAACGCACTGGTGGCCTACGCCATGATGTCCAAGACGTACGTCCCGCCCGAGGGCCCGCTGGTCATGATGGAGGACCTCATGGCCGAGGTCCACTCAAATGCCATCTACGCTGTTCCCTTTGTCCGCATGGACAAGCCGCTACTCGACCCGTCGCTTGCCGCGCCGTCGATTGTTCCGCCGACCGCTCCGTCGGCTGCCGCCGTCGACGCCGCCGCCGCGGCCGCCTCGGCACACACGGCGCTACAGGACGACAGCGAGTACAACCCGCTCCTCCCGCCGCCCATCGAGCTCGCTGCTGCCCGATCATCGGCCTCCACCGCCGCCGCGGCCGCGGCCTCGCCGGCCGTCTCGGCGCTCAACGCGCAGCTCTCCAAGTTTGACAAGTTTGTCGGCTCAAAGGCCGAAGCCCGCAAGCGATCGTACCGAGCGACAGGTGACTACGAGCGCAAGTGGACGGTGCTCGAGGTTGTCCGCTTTGTCGAGGGCTACGCCGCCATCCCCTCGGGTGCCACCGCCAACCGCCGCATCGCCGAGCACATCGGCACTGACCTCTGGTCCTCGCACGTCGCCCGTATCAAGCGCGCCTACAAGAAGGATCCCACTCCGTTCGACGACATCGTCGCAAAGTACAAGGCCGGCAAGCTCCGCGACGATGCCCACGCCTACCCCTGACACCTCTCGGTCGGGCTCGCGGCAAGCATGGCTGCCTTTACTTACCTCTCTGGCTATGCCGCCTTGTCTGCAGCCTTTGCCGGGGCCGGCAGATCGAATGGGCGATGGGTGACGAGCATGCGGAGGAGGAGGCAAGCCGGGACAACGAACCACGGCGAGTTGAGGCAGAGGACAAAACCAAAGTGCGGCGTGGGATGCTCACCGTAGGCCTCCTCCATCATGATGATAAAGACGATGGTCATGATCGACGCGGCGTAGACCATGGTGACGTCCCGAATCCAGGCGCAGCCCTTGGCAAAGGCGTAGAGGCCGACCATGTAGTACGGCCCGTAGAAGAGGACATCGGGCCAGAGCGTGGCCTGCCACCACGCCGGCCGGGCGAGGAGGACCGGATCAAACGCGCGCGAGTAGGCATGGATGAGCTTGATGAAGGCCTGCGGCGGCCACGGAGCGGCGGCCACTTCGGCAGCGTTGTTTGGGTCCGCAATGATCAGCTGCTCGATGTCCACCAGATACGTCACCAGCACCAGATTGAGCACAAAGTAGCCGAGAATGCACCAATCGGCCGGCCGCTGCGAGAGCGGGGCAGGACGCGCGGGTGCTGCGGCCACAACTTTTTTTGTCCGCTCGCAACGCCACCGCCCACCTGCCGCCACACCATCGCACATGTCGTCAGCACACTCGCCACAGGCAGAACAAGACACGAGTACGTCACCGCAGTCATCAGGTGCTCCATCCACGGCTCAAAGCCAGGAGTCGCCGTCATCCTCACCGGGGCTTTACAAAGTGAGGTGTGCCCGTGGCCTCTTTCCCGCCCCCTCCTCCCGCCCGGCCCAACGGCTGGCCGGCCGTCCCGGCGCGAGCAGATGCGCGCCGCCTGGTGGATCACGGTCGGAAAGAGGGACATCAAACTGTGGATACCATCGCCGCGTGTGCAGTGCGCATCGCTTGTGCGTGTCGCGCGCGTGCGGATGGAGAGGGCGGGAGAGCTGATGCTGTGTGTGCGGCATGCGTGCGGCGACGGCGGATCGAGCGAAGATCACTCATATGCTGTCGAATGCGGCGCAGGCGGCGTGAAGGGATGCTCGCGTGGCAACGGTGGCTTGTCTCATTTACTCGCCGATCGGCAACATGCGGGGGACGGTCAATGGGCGGCCCAGAACGAGTGACGGAGGGCGGGATCGCTGACATCGCAGCGGGAGAGGTTGGTGGTGATGGAGAGGAGACCAAGCTCAAAAGCGGCAACGAGGTCGATGTCGGCGTCGACCGCGGGCGGGGCGAGGCCCTGGATGGCAGCGGCGTGATCGACCGACTCGTAAAAGGCAATGAGATTCTCGAGGGCGAGGTTGAAGCGGGTGTAGACCGGGTCAAAGAGGTCGGTGATAAAGTTGGTTTCGACGAGGGTGCGTATAAGCGCCCGGTGCAGCCGGATGTTCCTGTTGATCGGACGCGAGAGGAGGACCTGCAAGACGATGACGCCGATAAGCATGGTCCTGGGCGTCCGCGACCTGAGCTCGTCAGTGATGTTGCGAACGAGGCCTACGAGCGCCGTGGACGAGCAGTAGGCCTGTGGGGTGACGAGGACGGCGGTGACGAGCGACCACGAGGCGATGCGTTTGGAGAACGGGGTCCAGCAAGTCGGCGCGGCGGCGCCCACAAACAGGTTGGCCAGCTGGGCGTGCCGAGCGTAGAGGATGTCAGGCACGGCGGTTGCGTCGATCGAGACCGAGTCGGTGACGAGGGCGATCGGCACATCGGTGCACCACAGCATGGGGATGTCAGACGATGAGCCGTCCTCAGAGGTGGAGGTCATGTCGTCCACGCCACGCCATGGATGGAGGGTGCAGTACGGGCAGGTGGCGCACATAAAGGTGCGATGAGTCGATGAGCCGCAGGTGTAGCAGTGGTTGTGCGGGGTGGTCAGCTCCGAGCCGGGAGCCTCCATGAGGGTGGCGACAACGACAGGCGCCCACCGCTCCAGGTACGTGCCGCGGAAGAGGCGCCAGTGCGACGGCGTCCAGTCGTGGAGGAGAGCGTGGACGGCGCCGATACCTGGCGCGCGGCAGTTGGCATCATCGCAGTCACAGAGTTGGTACGCTGCAGGCGACGCGCCGTCGGGAACCTCACCATTGTTCTCGTCGAGCTCGGCCAGCCGGCGGAGCCATGACACGCCGAGCCGGTCGACGGTCGACTCGAGCGTCCGCGAGCTCGCGATGTCTTTGGGCGAGTATGGTAGCTCCTCGGCGGCCGGCTCGCGGAGAAGGAGTGAGACAAAGAGACCGGCGATGTTGAGCTTGAGACCGCCAAGCGGCTCGAGGAGGACGGCACCGGCGAGGAGGGCAAGGAGGCGGGCCGAGAGCTTGAGCACCCCGACCGCGCAGGCGAGCTTGAGAACTTTGAGGACGAGAGCGCGACCAGCGCCTGCGCGAGCCTCGACGAGGGCACGCGGAGCGGCGACGAGAAGGGCTTCGACGAGGGCTGACGGAAGCGGCGAGGACTCGGGCGAGTCTGTCCGGAGAGCGGCCAAGACAGCGTTCCAGAGCTCGACGTGCGTGACTGGATGCTTGACGGCAGCGTCTACAAGCTCGGCGACGAGCGAGGGGAGCGGCGAGGCGAGGAGAGACGGCTGGCGCATGGAGAAGGCACGAAAGGCGTAGAGGTCGCGGTAGACAAAGGCCGAGTTGAGGGAAAAGGCGTGGAGGACGTCTGCGATGGCGCGGTCTGCGTCGCCGACGTCGCGGTACATCTCTGCGCGCCAGAGGAGGACGCCGCGGTCGTAGGGGTCGAGTTCGAGGGCGGTGGTGTAGTCTGCGCGTGTTGCAGCGTAGCGGTGAAGGAGCTCTGCGGTAATGGCGCGGTTGCAGTAGGCGTCGACCATGTCTGGGGCGAGGGCGATGGCGGTGTCGTACGAGGCGAGGGAGTCCTCGCGGCGGGAGACGTTCTGGAAGCCGATGCCGAGGTTGTAGTGGAGGATGGACCGGATGTAGACGTGGCGTGGGTCGGCAACGGCTATGCCGGCGGAGCAATCGGCGATGGCGTGGTCGTACATGCCCGAGCGCGAGTGGCAGAAGCCACGGCGCGAGTGGGCCATGAGCAGACGCGGACAGAAGCAGAGGACGAGGTTGAAGAAGCGGATGGCCATGGCGTACTCGCGGAGCTGGACGTAGACTTTGCCCCAGAGGTAGAGGAAGTGGCCCTCGATCTTGGGTTTCCCGGGGAACATGATCGGCGACATGACCTGGAGGGTGAGGCCGGCGTTGGGCGGACGCGTTGTTCGTCCGTCACGGCCGTAGACGGCGACAAGTGGGTCAAAGGCGGCGGCGCCCCATGTGGCGGCGTCGAACGGGCCGTCCAAGCTAGGGAGGGTGGCGGGATCGACGTGCTGCTCGGGAGCAGCAGTAGCAGCAGGGCGCGCAGCAGCGTCTGCGCCGGGCGATGATTCGGTGGCAGCCACTGAGTTGATGTAGCCCGCGGCGGTGTGAGCAAAGAAGGCGAGGAGGGCGTGGAGACGGGGAACGTGTTTGGACGGCGGCTCAAAGGAGAGGGCCTCGTACGGCACGGCCTCGCTCCAGTTGTACTCACCGGCCTTGAGGCGAAAGTTGAGGGTATCGACCCAGCGATGTGTGTAAAAGGCAGCGAGGCTTTTGATGGCCCAGGCGCGGGCGGCGAGGACGTTGGAGCCCTTGTCGTGGATGACCACACAGTGACAGGGGCTCATCGGTGCCGCGATGCAAGCAAGCAGTTCGTCTGCTGGCTGCATCAGTAGCTCGTCCAGCCTGTTGGCAGCGGCTGCGTCCTTGAGCATCTCGATGATGTTGTCCACCGAGGGGAGGGTGGAGTGGCTGCGATGGTTGGGCTGGTCGGGCTGGTCGGGTTGATCATCATGTCCGACATGACCGGGCTTGTCACCTTGCCCGACGTGATCGACCTCACCGACTTGGCCACCACGGTCACCATGGTCACCACGGTCACCTTGCCCGACGTGATCGACCTCACCGACTTGGCCACCACGGTCACCATGGTCACCACGGTCACCTTGCCCGACGTGATCGACCTCACCGACTTGGCCACCACGGTCACCATGGTCACCACGGTCACCTTGCCCGACGTGATCGACCTCACCGACTTGGCCACCACGGTCACCATGGTCACCACGGTCACCTTGCCCGACGTGATCGACCTCACCGACTTGGCCACCACGGTCACCATGGTCACCACGGTCACCTTGCCCGACGTGATCGACCTCACCGACTTGGCCACCACGGTCACCATGGTCACCACGGTCACCTTGCCCGACGTGATCGACCTCACCGACTTGGCCACCACGGTCACCATGGTCACCACGGTCACCTTGCCCGACGTGATCGACCTCACCGACTTGGCCACCACGGTCACCATGGTCACCACGGTCACCTTGCCCGACGTGACCGGGCTCGTCATCTCGCCCAGCCCTCGCAGCCTCCCGTCTGGTGGCAAAGAACAGACGATGAGGTGGCGGGGGGAGAGTGAACAGCAATGGAGAGCATCTCCCCCCACATCATCCCTCCATTCACAGGTAATAAGATGCGTAAACAACATCTCTACACAAGCCATGTGCAATTGATATTCGTGTCTCTATGTACTTTTTCCCCTTGATGCCCTTGAAGGACAGGGTTTGGGAACCGAGTGGCGCGCGGCGAGCAGGGGAGGGGTCAGGGGTCAGGGGGGGGGGGGGGGGGCACAGGTCGCAGGGGGCAGGAGGCGGAAGGCAGGAGGCGGGAGGCAAGACAAGGAGGCGCGCGCGGGGGGGGGGGGAGGGTACCGTTGGTATAACACTCCCTCCTGCAATCTCCTCCTTCCTCTCCCTATGCTGAGTGTGAGGTGTGGCTGTCGGCTGTCGGCTGGTGTTCCTGTCTCGATTCGGGCAAGTCGTGTTGTTCTTTGCTGTCCCGGCTCTCATTCACTTACTTGGTCGGCCGGGATTCGCTGAGGACCTACATGAAGCAACATGAAGCACCATGAAGCAGCCATCAAGTACCATGAAGCATCATGAAACACCGTGGACACCGTGGAGGGATCAAACTGGATGAGTTTGTGCTGAATGGTGTCATCAGAGTAGATGTCCATGGTGATTGGTACTGGAAGTCGAGGGGGTATGCTATGCTGGGAACAACGAACGAGAGCAGCTGAGAGGGCGAGCAAGGAGAGGTGCACACAAGGAGCGAAAACAGGTGGTGTATTAGCTACTACCCAAAACAGCCATGGCAAGAGCGGGCTTAGTTGGCGACGCACAGGCGCTGGATCTCGGCCGACGGATGGAAGATGTTGGGGTCCTGCGGGGCGGCGTCAAACTCAAAGAACCGGTACTCGATGGTCTCCGACGGGCCAGTGCGACGGTCATGGACTTGGAGGTACACCGGATCACCAGTGTGTGCGTTCTCAGCGTACGTCACCGAGTTGTGGTCGTGATGATCGGCGGCATGCCAGATGTACACCGTCTGGAAGTCGATGTCACCCTCGCCGACAAACTCAAAGTGCTCAAAGTTGGGGATGGGCATAGTCCCGTTGTGCATCTTCTGCGACTCGCAGAAGACCGAGTTCATGCCGTAGAAGACCTGATCCGCCTTCTCGCGCTTAAAGTCCGCGTACTCGGAAAAGCCGTACGTCTCACCATGATGCTCCACAGCACCGTCGACACGCGCAACCTGATGCGTCTGCGAGACAAACCAGCGGAAGAACTGCGGCCGCCTGCGCTTCTCGTTGTGCGCCATGATCGTCGCCGAGTAGTCCTGGCCACTGTCTCGCCGACCGTCATCCCACCTGTAAGTGCCGCATCATGTGACTCTCCCTCTCAGCACCCTCATACACGGCTGCACACCATCCGTGCGTGGCATACATATATATATGAATATATATGTGGCTAATACGGAGGCTAGCTGGTCGGAGGCTTGCTGGTTGGCAGGCTGCCTGGCGGCAAGCGGCGTTTTTCGCCCCCAACCCCCGCCACTTCCAAGGCTATGGAACACGAAGCTGGCCACGGCTGAACTCGCTACTAAGGAGGGACATAGCATGCGGTATCCTCCAAACCTATACAGAGTTTGAACGTCATGGCGTGGTTTAACCGCACATGTCCGCAGGGTATGTGACGGGTGCGGAAGGAGGAAAACCTGGCACGCGTGCCGCCGCCAAGTCGCACCGCCACGCACAGCGCAAAACACCAAACGTACCACAGGCTTGGGAGGAGAGGCGGCCAAGGCCAGAGCCACAAGAGCCAGCATGACAATAATCGCCACCGTGAGCTTCATGACAAACAGAACAACAGTCAAGTGTGCTGCTTGCCCTTTGGCTCAGCTCAGGCGCGCGCTGACTGGTCAGGTTTCGGGCGAACCATCCGCCGCAGCTGGCGGCTCTGTCTACCAGCCGTCACCCAACAAACAATTATTTCACGTTGGAATTAATGGTTCACGCCAAGACGCGTAATGGCAAGCATATGCGACACCCAAGTGCTGTCAACCCAGCCCCCCCCCCCCCCCCCCCCCCTCCGTTCACGGGCTACATAAGGCGACCACACCGCTCTCGCATCACAATAGTCTCAAGGCGCAACGCACATGTTGCGGCACATGGGTATGTTCTCAGGAGAAAGGGGGATAAGGGGAGGGGGAAGGGTGAAGGGGCTGGAGGGAAAGGGGGTGGGTGGTGATCGTC